CAATTTTCTATATAGAAATTTTATGTTTGTTTATGAAAAAATTCTATAATGCTTACAAAAAGTGTTTATATGCTATTGATATATATATTTATGAAAAACAACCCCTTAATCATTTATTTTTATAACTAAAAGTGTTAACACATAGTATAATTGCAAATCATGAAAAATAACATAATATTATATAAATGTACTTACATTATCTGTATATAACAAAAAGCATAATACTTAAAACAGTAGGGCAAAAATGTAACTTACTGTTTACTATATTCAACAATTATTTTTAAAAAATGTCAAATATTTCTTTTAACTTTTATAAATTTTGTTAGTTATAGAGAAATTATTTTCGTTCTATGGAAACAGTTTTATACATAAAATTTCAAGGAACATAAAAAATTAGTTATATAAAGATTTTTGTTGTATAGAAGTTCGTTATAAGGAGGTTTAATTGTATTTCATTTTGTAATTACATATATTAATTAGAGGGTTTCATTGTGAGCAACGTGATCTTTTGAGTTAGCACTAATGACTTTGGTTTTTGAACTGGCAGTTTTTCTTGTTGGATTTTCAGTTCAGTGAATAAGTAAGGAAAGTTCAATATACTGGTGCTCACATTAATCGTGTCAATTTCAAGGGTTTCTGTAACAAAACTATAGCAACTGCTTTTATTTGTTTTAGAAATGTTAATTAAGTTGTAATAATAATAATAATATTATCATTATTATTACTGTTATTTTTATTGAATGCTATGTTCAATTTGTTTTTTGAATTTTTTTCACAATAATTTTCGATGCAGGCTTCCACCTTTTTCAAAACAAAAAGATGGAAAATGAAGAAGTTGAAGTTAAACACAAAATCCCTTATGATTCTAATAAAAAGAACAAAGATGAAACAAAAAACCTGCCACTTACAGTTTATAACATGACCTCAAAAGAGTTTTTTAATGACAAATTTGCTAGATTTTATTTGCACGAGGTAAATATTTTTTGGTTTTTCAAGTAGATTTGCTAATTTATAATAATAGATAATTAGATATATCTTGTGTTATTAATCGCTTGTATTTAGTAAAGGTTAATCTTTGATAATTCATCAATGGTTTATCTTTGATCATGGAAATTCACTGACAGTTTGCTTTGTTGCATAGTATCCTTGTTTAGAAGTTTGTAAGATGTCAAGTCAAAATATGTGTAATTTGTAGTTGCACATTTGTACAAACACATGAACATTCATGGTGTAATATATTCAATATATGGTACAATAGTGTAAAGTTTCATTGTTGAACTTAATTATTAAAGATAATTTGCTAATTTTTGTGAGCTATAAAACGAATCATTAAAACTTGGCTACACAATTTGACTAATTTTGTTTTAATTTTATAGTGTTCAACTGATAGAACAATGTTCATAACTGACCTCAATCAAATTTTGGAAGGTTCTTATAAAAGACCATTACCGAACTCAATCCTTCTTCATGTCGATGACGATGAACAAGCATTTGTTTAGAGACAAATATGTGCTCGACCTTGGATCAGGAACAGGCATTTTAAGTTTGTTTGCAGCTAAAGCAGGAGCCAAACATGTGTTTGCTGTGAGAACTTATCCTACAAAATTTTCACTTCAATTTAAACTATCATATATTGATATATTTTTTAATTTTTCATCTGTTTAAAGTTTTTTTTATACCGCAGGTGGAATGTTCACACATGGCTGAGCTATCGAAAGAAGTCATTAGAAAAAACAAAAAGGATAAAGGTTAATTTTTGTGACTCAACTTGATTTTGGTTGGTGAAATGAACGAGTTGCTAACTTTTAATAATGTTTATGAAAATTGTTTGCCATACTCTGTAATGGAGTTTTTTCCTACTTTTTTCTTATTACAACTTTTCAAAAGTGCCAATGAATTAATTTATTTTTTCAAAAATGTTTTTTAACGTGATTAAATTTGTTATCAATTTCAAGTTATAACGGTCATTCACGACAAGATTGAGAACATTTCAAAACTTCCTCTGGGCATCGACAAGGTTGACGTCATTGTATGCGACTGGCTCGGACACTGCCTTCTGCACGAATCCATGATACCGTCATTAATATATTCTCGGAATAAATGGTTGGTTAGTACATCCCTTGGCTTTATTATTTCCCCATCATTACTTATTTTATTTTATTTCTCACGTTTCTTCTTTCTTCTAAAAGGGTTCAATACTTATAAAATATGAAATAATCTTAATTAAGATTTGAAGTTGTTTGCATTGACAATGTTTTTACGACATAGTTACTTATTGCTTATCATGAAACTTTTTCATATAGTACTTATTTATGTATGTATCAAAAATGATAGTAGTTCATAATTTGTCACTTTCAGGTTGGTTGCTTGTGAGCTAATTAACGAACTATTTATGTAATTTAGATTTCATAAAAATAGTAATAACAACAACTATTATTTTATTAAACTTAATAATGATTATAGCAACAACAATAATAATAATAATTATATTAATAACAACAACTATAATAACCATTAGTTTTAACACCTGTTTTACTGATTCAAAAATTTCTTGAAGAAACCAGGCGGCTTGATCTTCCCCGACAAGTCATCATTGTACATATGTGCCATTGAAGATAACCAGTACAATGAAAACACTACGAATTGTATGTTCGATTGATTAACATTTCTATTTTAATTTCATCATCATTGCAGTTGCCCTTCTCTGGCTACATTTATAGCCAGGAAGTTAATTTTAAATGGGTTTTGTATATTCATCTGTTCCAATCTCATATCAGTTTGCCTTTTCTTTTTGTAATTTGCAGAAATAATCGTAGATTGCATTATGTCTTTGGTTTTAACTGTTAGTAAATAATATTAAATAACAGTAAATAACATATCAAACTGTAATACTGCGGAGTGTTCAACATAAATATGTGTGTTTTCAATGTTGAAATGTCCTTTTTCTTATTGCTTTCTTTGGAAAAAGTTGAGTTGTAGAGGTGGAATAATTTGAGGCTTACACAAGTTCATCTCTTACAAGTTCATCTCTTACAAGTTCATCTCTTACAAGTTCATCTCTTACAAGCTGAGCTCTCATGACCGTTGGAATTCTTAATTATGGATTTTTAATTCTAATTCAAAAACTTGGCAAATGTTAACATACTTTTTTCTACTTTATTGTTTACTACTCCATGCTCTTCAGTTTTGTTGTTTTATAACTTTTTCATTCATTTTTTAAATGTTGTACACAGCTAGTACCAACTGTAATTTGTTTATTTCTTCCTTAATTTCTATATTCATCCTGTCCGTTTGAGAAGCCAGATAGTGTTGAATTTGTTTCAGCTAGGCTCTGATGTTCACAAAATATAAATCAAGCGCTAAATAAATGCACAACACTTCACACAAACAGGGTGGAGGAATGTGTATGGATTTGATATGACGTGTATGCATGAAATCTCTCTGGCTGAGCCAACCATCAACTTCGTGGACCCAGACAAAGTCGTCACCAACGCTTGTCTTCTGCAGGTTTCATTTCAAAGATCCCATTAATAACTTTACTAGTCAGATGAAATGTAACAATTATTTCAAATAAACATTTTAAATGAGAGAATATGTGTATAGAAAGCAAAGTATTTGTCAATATTAGAAAAAATCTTAAAATAAAAATTTTAAGTACAAAAATAATTTGACACTGATTAATTCAAGTATTAATCTTTTGTTGCTCAAAATCTTGGTTCATCCTGTTATTATTTTTAAAAATTAGTTTTAATTTAACTGGGATTTGTGGCCCTGACATGCACATGGCATTACACATTGGACCTGCTCTGTAAATTATTACATCTTTATTATGCAAACAAATCAACGTTAATAACATTTAAGGTGTTTTAATCAAAATTAATAATGAATTTATAATGTGCATTGGAACAGGAGTTGGACATGGACACAATGAAAGCCAGTGACCTGAACTTTTCAGCCCCCTTCTACCTCAAGTGCCTGCAGTACGACAAGGTCCAGGCATTCCTCATCTACTTTGATGTCGAGTTTTCTAAATGCCACACTCCAATTGCTTTCTCCACAAGTAATATTTTCATTCATTCGCTTATCTACCTACACAGTCTAATTATTTCATAAACGTAGTTTTATTATTATAATACGACAAAATGTTTAACGAAGGGCAAATAAATGCTATTTTAAAATTGTTTTATTTTGAACCTGCGCCTAAAATTTAGATCATTGTAAGTGACATAATACTATACCGTGAACCTTGTAACTTTTAATATGTCTTATCTGTTCTTTATTTGGAAATATCTCTCGAAGTTGTCTTGAATATTGTTAGTTATTCTGCTGGTCATTGAAAAGAAATTTGATACCACATTTGTCTGGTTTCATTTGGCATAGTTGCAAATATCCGTTAGTCGTAATAGCTTTACTGTCTGAGAAGGTGCTTTTAAGAATGTATAAGTGGATATCAAAATAAATTATAACATCTTTGGTTGATAATAATGCACGTAGGTCCTGATTCACCTTACACACACTGGAAACAAACTATATTCTACTTGAAGAAGCCCCTCTCAGTTCAAGAGGGGGAAGAAATTCATGGAGTAGTCAGCATGAAACAGAATCCTCTTAACAAAGTTTGTAAAAATTAAAATCATCCGCCGTGTATATACCGATATTTAAATTAGTAAATGTTTATACATATAATAATATGTAGTTAATTAAATAAATTAATTCGCGCTTCTCGGCTGAGCGTTGATATTTACCTTAACAACCATAATATGCCGTTAAAAATTTTAAAAATCGCGTTTTATATTGTTTATAGTTAATAAAATATTATCTTAATTTGTAAATGATTAAGGAAATGATATTTATTATTTTAATATATATATATATATATATATATATATATAATATTCTATAAATTCTACCGAATGTTTGGCGTTATGTTTGTAGTTCGTTTTTTCAATTTTTCTCACTAAAGTTTTTTGGTGAAAGTTTAGTTTATTAAAATTCAAAATAAACTTATTTTCCGAATTCATGCTGCAAATAGGGCCATATTTCGATTCCGAATGAATCGTCATCAGTGCTTTTTGATGTTTATATAGGGAAATTGAAAAAACGAACTACAAACATATTAACGCCAAACATTCGGTAGAATTTATAGAATATTGTAAAAATTATGGTCTATTACCAACACACATATATACATATATTTGGTTCAGACCATCGTATATACATATAGTTACTAGGATAATGCGGTAATATTTGTTAATAAATAAATAAACACACACACACACACATATATATATATATATTGAGAAGAGACCATATTTACAGTATTGTATGAATTCTACCGAATTGTTGACATTTATCAATAATGCCAACGTGTGCAACTACCTGTTACGGGTCGACAAATTTTTACCTCTACATGCATGGTGTGCAGGCAAAGTGACTTCATCTCACATTTGAATGTATTGATAAGTTCACAATTTTTATTTTATAAATTTTCTACCCATCATCCCAGAATCTGCATATAACAATTGACGTCGAGTTTGCAGGACAATACTCTCTACTGACAGATACACTGCATTACAAAATGTCTTAGATTAATGTTTTATTTGCTTTATTAATTAAAAAATCTGTAATTTTAAATTCCAATGCAAATTCTGGGAGCGTAAAAGTTATACATCACCTTATATATTTTATTTTGTAACATCTACATTTCCAGCCCTTCGTAGACCAATTCATTATATATTGATGTTATTTGTTATGATATATACTGCTTGAATTTTAAATTATTTTTGTTTATTTTTTACATTAAAAAAACGTAAAAAAACGAAAATTATTGATAGTTTTGTTCTAATCGTTTTCATCTTTAAAAGAAATAATGTTGGGGACATTGAAAATACATTAATCCAACAAAATCTTCCAGAAGCACGATCGTCAAGGGGTAGCGGTACCATTTTGTTTTAAATACTAAACGTCGATTATTTTGATCCGCTCCTTGCATGAATTTCAGTACAGATGAAACCACATAATAAACATAATTATTATTTAAAGGTAGCCTGAGAGTAGACTTTTTATCAAAACATGACTTATGCTGTCGCCCTAAGTTCACCTTTGTGACTTCACTTTTCTTACACTAGACTTCTACCAAGAGATAAATAGATCAATTTTAGGATGTTTTTATTAGCATACTTCATTAATCAAAAAAATTCGTGTTAGTCACCTAAAATCAAATCTGATGGTAAATGCAATCAGCAAAACAAAAAAGTTAAAGCGTGCATGGAGTACCGCAAGCATCAGGTCGGCATATGTATCGAATGACGTACACATACATACACAATTTTGCGTTAAAATAAATTATGATCAACAAAATTTGAATTAAAAACCTAATGTATTAAAGTTCTTAACGACAATCAACATTTATCTTTGATATTACAATTAATACTACAGAACCAAATAAACGTTATCATTTAATAAAATTTTCGTAATGCATAATATATATATATATCAACTCCTATCTCCTGGTCGTTCTCCTGGCAGCCTTTTTGATGACCCTGTTGGATACGTTGGAGCTTGCTGATGCATTCAATGCTGTCCCCGCACTAAAAATTATCAACATTAAAATTATTTTAAACACTTTTTAAAAATAATCAACATTGAAATAACATAACGGGTCTTTATTTGGAAAAGATAAGCACAAAATGATATTAGTCGTTAAATAAAAACGCTTCTGAAAAATTCATTTTTAAACTAATATATTAATTTATAGCGTACACATTATATAGTTAAACGTGAGACTAACTAACTTGAATGATATGTTGCCAATGCTATTTGATCCAGTAAAGTTGAAGGTTGGTTGCTTAGTAGGAAGAATTTATGAATGAATCATAAAATTTGTATAAATTATAGTAGAATGATAAAATTCACGATATATGTTGTATTCATCTAATATATAAAACAAAATTCTCAATAAATTAGGAAAGCAACTAATTTGTAAAATAATTTATGGTAAGTAATCTGTATTAACGTGAAAAAAAGATTGATATCAGATCTGTTGGATCCAATTTGTTGATACTATTGATGTATTTCATCAGTGTAAATGTTCAAAACGTCACAAACCTCATTCCAGGCTGGCTGTAGTGGGGGCTGTCCAAATGTGAAGATGGCAGGCGGCTGTGGAGCAAACGCTGGTGCTTGCAATGATGATCCAAAGTTGAAGCCTTTAGAGCAAAAAATATTTTACCAAATTTAACAACTCATGGAAGTTAATTAATGATTTTATAAACCAGTTACTGCAAATTATGAACATCACTTCTTGGCATAGGCGCAATAAGAATGATGTTAAAGTTTCATGTTGGCTACCACATTTCAAATTAATTAATCATGAATCAAATAAATAACAACTATTTCATGAAGACTAGGGATGCACCGAAGTTCGGCCCCGGCTCCGGCCCCGGCCAAAATCCGGCTTTTTTTTCAAATCCGGTCGCCGGCCGGATTTAGGGCCGGATTTAAGCGTCTATCAACTTTTAAAAATGTTAGAAATAGAAAAAAAAATTTTATTGAATTCAATTAATTTTATGTCAATAAGTTAATGGCTAAAGCTAAGCTAAAGGCATACATGACACATAATAACAACATCACTAATTGTGAGGTGATCTGGACAATTTTCTTTATGCTATAACATGGGTTATGCATAAATTATAAGCTGATCTTTGTGTAAAAGAACTTGTGCACATGTATATACTATATATTGATAATTGCACATGACGGATCATATAGCTACATATATATATATATATATATATATATATATATATATATATATAAAGATATATATCTATATATCTATATATATTTAGAGAGAGAGAGAGAGAGAAAGAGAGATACATAAGCACAAAATTTAAGAACATGGTATGTTAAAGGTTAGGCTAGGTATACATAACACATAATTACAACATCACTAATTGTGCGGTTAGCTGGACAATTTTCTTTGTGCTTTAACTTGGGTTATGCAAATATGCATAAATTATAAGCTGATCTTTGTGTACAGAATTTGACGTATCACACAACTTATTCATATATTTGAATTAAATAACTATTTGCTTGGTGTTATTTTTTGATGTTCAACATGTAGATAACCGTAAATGTGAGTATTTTTTCTAACGTATGTAAAACGGTAACTAAAATCCGGCCCCGGCCGGTTTTTGAATTTCAAATCCGGCCAAGTCCGGCCCCAGCCGGATTTGAAAAACCTGAATCCGGTGCATCCCTAATGAAGACATTAAATGAATAATCAATTTTCAAGAAACTATCACAAAAAGAGCCTAAAACCCAAACATTTAAGACAAACAAGAATACAAAAAAATATTATGATCTAAGTTTTATAAACCGCTTGGTAGTAAGTTGTGGGCAACATAAATGTTACATCGTAAAATTAAAAACAGAAAATAATGCAAAATATTTATGAAAATGGTAACAAAACTGTCCAACCACAATTTCGTGATACAGTTTGCATCTCAATAGCATTAACAAGTAAGTGGTAATCCCAACAAGTAATTCCAATAAGGTCGTTTATAACCGTGAGAACACACCAACCCACCAACATATGCATGCAACAACATTTACACCTCAACAACACATACATTCTACAAGATACACATAATTGTATGTTTCATTCTAAACAAGCATTGTACATGATAACGAAATGGTATATTAATATGTCTTAAAAATTAAAAAACTAAGCAGCAAAAATGATAGGCACTGCTTATGTTCATCTATATATAAAACCATAAAACGCAACTTATCTAAAAAAAAGGCATTTGTTTTATAAGCAAAAAGCAAAGTAAGAAATTTTATATCATGCAAAATTCAAGTGCTAATAAATACACATATATTTATGTTTAATAACATTAAACATGGTTATGAAAATGCCATGTACATCAATCAGCTTATAAAGATGACTAGCTAGTCAACAATTATAATTATAAGTTATAATGATTAAGCCTTATAAATATTTTATTTAGGCTGGAGAATATATTTTAGCGATGAAATAAATATTGTTTTAAAGAAAAAGTTTGGATAAAAAGCAAGTTTTGAGCAGAATGATAAACATTCAATGTTTTCAGAGGAGCCAGATATCAATCAGTATCTCTTCCAAGGGAATTCAGGCTGTCTTCGTTCTATAAATGAAAAACTATTGAATCTGATGTCTGCTCGTTTGTCATTGTAATGTAGTCAGTATCTCATATTGCATCATAACTGCTACTAAAACATTCTAAATATAAATTAGATGTTCTGCTTAAATAAATATTACGCAGGTAACAAAATTATCACTGAATTCACTTCAGATGACAACATGAAAACTGATGTTGATGAAAACAGATGACAACATGAATAAAAGACTACTACTTTATACTTACACTCGTGATATTAATGCACAATTTGGAGATAATGTTTTCAAAACAGTTTTTAAAAATTCAATTCCACAAACAAAAAAGATATGAATGTTGTTGGAGAAAAATAAAAATAAATTTTTTCTGTATTCTTTCATTGATGTTCTATATATGCTCTTAATTTGATTCTAACAAATTAGATTTCTCTGCTGAAACGTTGGTTTATCCTAAAATATGAAATGAAAGTACTTAACGTCATTAAAACATTTTTACATTGAAAACATATTTTCATCTGCCGCAATCTAACACATCATCCTTACAAATAACTCAGGATGCGTTAAAATTCAATTAACTGAAAAACTATCGTAATAAAATGAATACATTTGAATATGCTTTGTAATAAAAAATTGAAAATCTAGCTAGCAATAAACATTTCACTAATTATCACACAATTTAATCCTACCTACCAAGATTAAATTTTAAACATATAATCCCTCAAACAATACTTTTTTACGAACTGAGAAATCTCCTTTTGATGAGAATACAGTAAAACATCTGTATGCAACTGCAAGCATTGCATTCAGTTTAGAAAACGGCCAATTTGGGGATGAGAAATTTTGTTTGGTATGCATATTTTGCTCAGTATATTGAAAAAAGGACACTTGCATGTGTCTCACAAGCCATCAATTATGCAATATAACAATATAGTATGTCACAAACTGTATATTGAATATCATTTCACATTTTTTCACATATATTTTATCTTGTGTAGGCATAAAAAAAAAATTATAGACAAAGTACAATTGGTTGAAATATTAGATTGGTATACAACCATTTAAAAATAGGTCATAACATCAGGCAGGCACATATTAAGTTCATATACTACTGAACTAGACTCAAGTAAAAATTTGGTTTCAACACGACTCAACGGTAATTTAATGTTTAAGAGGCATAAAATATATCCAATAAAATAGTAAAATTTATTCTTTTAAATGTTTACTCAAACAGTTGTTAAACGTGAAGACCTAAAGAGACACAAAAAATGATATTCATGGTAGTTTTGAAACAAAATCCACCACATTAATGACAAGTCAAATTAAACTAATTAAAACATTTTAACATTTAAACACCATACTGAAACACTCGTCATGTTTGCTTTACAAAGTTTAAAACATACCCGTGTTAGCAGAACTAATGTTGGAAGATCCAAAAATTGAGTTCTGCTGCTGTTGTTGTTGTAGTTGTTGGTTGTTGTTGTTGCTGCTGAGAGCAGAATCATTATCTGCCATCATATCATCTGATCAATAAAAAATAATTGCAAAACATCATGAAATAACAAAGTTGTAAACAATGGAAATTGTCGAGTGAATGCATGAAAAGTGGCTGGTCAACAAGACCATTTGTCATTAAGTTTTACTGGATTGAACAAATTCTTGGATCGATTATAAGTATCATTATTTGAAAAGCATCAAATTAAGAGAAATAAAATCTAGCTGACAGAATGCAATAACAAGAACAGAAGTTACAACTATTTATAATTTTTTTTCTGAATTATTATTTAATAACTAAAAGAATATCTTACAAAACGTGTCTGACCTAGTTAATCTCATAAAAAAAAAAACGACAAATGAGTTAAAATATCCAATCACTTTCAGAAGTCAACTTTGTTTAAATGGTCCAGCCACCGAATGGGATGACTTGACGGGACCTCATTGGCTAAGTGCCAATGGGGTCCCGTCAACCAGCTTCTACTGAATTTATGTACACCTTAGCAACTAAGACAAGAACAAATAAACAAACCACTGATGCTTTTCCTGTTTGTGCCAAAGAAAGTTGCCTGTGCTGCACCTCCTCCAAAAACACCTTATACAGTATTTTAATGTTTTTTCAATATCCTAATGTTATCCCAATATTTCAATGTTATTCCAATAAAAAAAATTGACAAGGTCACAAAAAAATTAAGAGAAATTATTAATTCAATTAATTCAAAAGAGATTCTAATTCTTTAGAAAAAACATAATGCACAAAAAAAAGAACTTATATGAGTGTGTCATGCATGTAAAGAAAAGAACAATGAATATGCAGTAAGTCAAAATCAAATATACACACACAAAAAATTATCATGAAATTAAATTTAAAATGGACTGATTGATGTGAAGATATCTTTGATATCAGATTTTAATCCTTACAACAATGTACTAAAATTAAAACGTTAAAGATCTATTTCACTCTTCCCAGGTTCAGAGGAACATGCACAAACATCATAAATGAATACGTGCTAAACTTTTCTGTCATATTCGAGCCAAACCTGGTCACTGCAACTATTGCCAAACAGCACCTGGCGACTTTAACCACTAGGCCATGATGCCACATTAGACTTAAACTTATATAGAAAAAACTTATTTCATATTTCAGAGAACTGAAGTATGAAATGAAAATAAAGGAAATAAAATTACAATGAATCATTATCTTATATAGTCTCTATTGTTTATTTATTTATTATTAGGTGAACCGTGAAATAGGTTTTTTGAAAAACATAGTTATTCAAGGATATCACATAGCTTAAAAAAACATAAAATTTAATATTATGTAAAAACCAGATTTCATTTAATAACAAAAAAAATGACATCTTTGACTGACTGTTGTTTGCGGCAGCATTAAAAGAGAAATTCGTTGTGTTTTCTTTAGATGTGAATACAAATGAAGTATTTTGGAGATGAGCGGGTGGAACTGTGTGCTGTGGTTGGTTGAAGAGTGATGCAGCATTCTGCTGTCCAAAGGTGAACACTGGTGTGGGCGCTGAGGAAGCAACTGCACTTGACGATAATTGACCAAAAGTGTTCTGTTGTGAATTTGCAAATGAACCAAAATTGAATTGGGGCTGCGCTTGTGATGATTGATTACTTCCAAATGCTAGAGAAGTTTTGTTGGAAGTGACTGTCGGTTGTGTTGAAAACGAAGATGTAACAAAAGATGGTGGCACAGTTGATAATGAGTTACCAAACTTGAAAATATTAGGCACAGCAGTTGTTACTATTGATGCAAAATTAGAAGATGAAGCTGAAGACGATGGCATTGCATTGCAATTGACGGCAAACAATGATTTAATAGCAATTGCGTCAGATTTTGTAGAATTGATGGAAAAGTTGCCAAAGACATTACTAGATGGTGCAGCTGTTGTTGTTGTCGTCAGTGAAGTCAAGTTGGACCCTGAAGAAACAAACAGCGGGAACGCTGTGGAACTTGTAGTGACCGTTGCAATGGAGCCAAACTTTTGAATTTCATTTTTAGCTTCAAAAGACAGAACACTGCCCCCTGAGACTGTGGTTGTGCTGGGTGGAGATACTAACGTTGGTGCTGATGAGGAGATAATGGCAGCCGAAGTTGTTGCAACGGTGTTTGTAAGGGGGAGAGATTGTAGAGCTGTAGATCCGAATTTAAAACCCCCAAAAATATTGTTGGTGGTTGAAGGCATGGACGTTAGTAAATTACTCGTCTGCTGGAAAGATGGTTTGAAACCACCAGTTATTTTGCTGGAGGTGACTTGATTAATTTCCTTATCTTTTACATTATTTACTAGATTGCTTCCAAAACTTGCAGGGTTGAATGGTGCAGAACCATCAACACCAAGATTTCCTTTGAATGAGAATCCTCCATTTGTGTTGATAGTTATTTGCTGTGTTTTGGCATCAGCTTGTGACACAAGTGAACCATCTGAAATATTAAACAACATAAAAGGTTAAAGTCAGACAAATACCTAGTCTGTTAGCATCTTAAAACAATGTATCACAAAATGTACTACTATTAACTGGTGAAATAAATGAAGCAATTCTCATCAACGTTGTTTCGCACCATTGTTTGACATTCCTGGCTTTCTGGACTCACACGCCAAACATGTCATGTCCGAACTTTTGTTTTTTACGTAACATTCCGCACAAATCCACATGTCACCAGGTTTTGTGGGCTGTATATTTGTCCCCTGTAAATTGAATATTACATATTCTTTTAAATATATTAAACATATTCTTTTAAATATATTAAACAGACATGTTGTTTCATCAAACTCATGTGAAAAAACCAAGTAACACTTGTGGCATAAAGATGGAAATTTTTTTAATAAAATCAAATCAACGCACATTCCAGTTTGAAGTTGTATTGAAAGTGGTAGGCAATGCAGGATTAGGAGTTGAAGTTGTTGATGTTGATGGGAGAAATGGTGATGTTGTTGATGTGAGAGATGTTGATGACGTGAGAGACGACGATGTTGTTGATGTGAGAGATGATGAAGATGTGAGAGACGATGATGGTGGCTTCTGCTCTCCACAACACAAACACACAAGGTCAGACAACTTGTTGGATACCATGCAAGTAGGACATGACCATTTGTCAGACGACAATGGTTTGAACAGCTCATTCAGAGGGATTGGTTTCAGTGGTGCTAAGGAAGATGGTGACACAACTGGTGGCACTGTTTTTAAAGCAAAATGTTCATGTTTGCAAATTAAAAACTGTCGTGAAACCTTAAATGTTTTTGATTTGATTTTTATTTATTTATTTATTCATTGCTTCAAAACAATTATAAAAGGTTAATTTATAGACAATAGTAATAGTATGTAACATGGTACCTTAATCTATGAAATGTTTAAAACCACCATGTTTATATCCAAAGAATGCCTATATATTTACAAATGTGTGCATGTACATAACTGGAATCATCCTTAAATGTTATCTCATCGCATCAAAATTTAAGTATTTTAAAACAAAACTACGTGCAAAAATAAAAAATGAAAAGTACAAGCACTTTAAAATATGACGTGAGTATTGAATTGACAAACCAAGTGTTGGCGCTGTACACAGTGCTGGGGAATTTGCTAGTAAAGTGGACTGAGGTTTAGCGGTTGCGCAGCATGAACATGCAGCCAAACTGTTGCTATTCAGTACAAAGCACATCGGGCATTTCCATTGGTCAGTTGGTGGCTTGAACATAACAGATAATGGAATACTATCCGTTGTTACGTTTTTGCTGATTGGAGATGAAAAAGATGGTGCACACGAGGAAGAAGATGATGTAGATGATGATGTAAATGATGATGATGATACAGATGATGTGAATAATGATGATGCAGAAGATGAAGATGTAGAAGATGACATGTTCGATGATGATTCAATTGGTTTTTCCTTTTCCATTTGATCTCCACTACTCTTCAATTCATCTTCTACGAACGCTACAAATAAACAAAAATATTCATCTCTAGTTTTAACTAATGAAATACTTCTGATGTTATTAGATGGTAACCATAATTTTAAAACTAAATTTTCAAAAGATAAAAATGGTACAAACCTTTCATGTTGATTTTTGGAGGTGTCTGCCTTGTAATGTGAGTACTTGTAGAAAGGTTGCAGAAATTAGAAGATTGAGAGAGGGGTTGTTTGAAAAAATCAGCCTGCGTGAATGTGCTAGGGCCTGGCAGACTATGTTGCAATGATGAAGAAGAGATTGCAAGAGGTGGCTTATCTTCTTGAGAATGACCAAGATGAGATGTTGAAGGCAGTGATGGAGGTGTATAAGATGTTGTTGAACCAACAAGGTTAGTGGGCTCGCTGAAATCAAATTTCTGTTGACAGATTTAATAATTGTGTTGAATTACATACAACTAAAAAACAAACTTATGATTATTTTCTAATGTCAGAAACTGAAAAATTAACTTGTGATGCTTCATAAAAATGTATTAAAGTTGTAATGGGTTAACATAGGCACGTTGGTTGGCTCATGCTTTCATTATAATTTGAAGTCTACGAGACATAAAAAAATAGCTCTTCAGGCCACACAAACTTGTTATCACTAAAAAAGTGACTTGTGTTTTCCCTCTAACATAAAAGATTGATAGAAAAGATTCTATAATCCAGAAAAATGGTTTATTGAAATTACATTAAATTAAGGCTAGGACTATGAAAGTTTTAGTTTAAAATTCAAAAAGTTCAGATAAAATTTTTATAATATAATAAATTTTTTAAAAATTTTGAGATGCTTTCACCATACAACAACTGTTAATTTGACAAGATAATTATAGTAAACAGTAAGCTAAGCTTAAAGAGGTAATGATTATGATCCAAACAAGAGTAAAATCAATTTAACTTAATATAGGCACAACATTTAAGTTTTAGAACACATTTTCAAAAGTTCTATCAATAAAAAAAACTAAAGAGGTCGCCGCTAAGTGTCTTAAAATCTTAAAAAGCTTGTGTTACCGAGCATTCACAAAACTTTCAAATAAGCTGCCGATGTGGTTAATATGCTTATTTTACTTCATTCATCCACTCTATTGTTCTAAACTCTATATCTGATTGTGATGAATTAAAGATGATCAGCATTTAATAACAAGTGTGCTGTGTTGCAGCATATAAACGTATCGTGTGGTGTATATGAGGTGCACAAAGATTTATAAAGCGATGCTTTAGAAGAAAAACTTCAAGGCCTAAAGTTTTATTAATGTAAAGCCTGCTAAAATGCCTACACATTTGTAACAAACAACGTTTACTTGGCTTAACTAGGTTTTGATAAAAAACATTTAGATGAAAATATTTTTAATTATTTTAGTATAATAATTAATGTTAAAACTTGCCTAAAGATATCTTGTAAATTTCAGCTCAATAAAAATTTAAAAGCTAGCATTTTAAAAATAAATTTAAATAGAGGTATAGCAAGATTAACATTGAATTGTTTACATTTATAAACAGCCAGATACTAAAGAAATTATTAGAAATGCTAAATACCTTTCATCAGGTAACATTGTATATTTTAAAAATTTACCCATTAACAAATAAGCTTGAAGTTTGTTTGCATTCAACATTTCATAAATTTGAAATTTATCTGGCCTGCAAAAAATATTTTCCAACCGGCAGGGCCACAGCCAATCCAAACCAGAGCTCTAACAGTTGTTTTTACAACAGTTTCAAGTTTGATTTAAAAAAACAAACAAATGTTAACCTTGTGTTTCAAATTATCTCCATTTTTATCATCTAAAATGATGTCAGGAGGGCTGAAGACAAAGCGTCTTGATTGTTGATCAAATGTCGACTTCTTGTCCACATTTGAAGTAGTTGAAGTTATCAACGGCTGCATCTTAACGGGTGGGAGTTTGATCCCAACTAGTGCATCATCAGACAGCTTCAAAAGTAATTACAATTGTTCATACAATGAGCAATTTCAAAAACTTCAAAATGAATAAAACTTCCTAAAACGGATGATTCATTTGCACACAATTTTATATTTAATTGGTCAGAAATTAGTCATAATTTAACTAAAGTAAAAAAATTTTCAGAGCTACTATCTGTAAAGAAAGTAAACCTTTGCGGTGTAACTATCCACACTGTCATTATTTAGAGGCCTGCTTGCAGCCTGATGATGTTTTTCTCTTTCATGCCTCATCTTTCCACCAGACCTTCAAAAGTATGTAGAGTTTAATAAAATATATTTTACATTAGAGTCACTTTATCAAGACACATGATGACATATTATACAAGTCACAAACTTTGAAGAGATGCATTGATCTGTCCCAAATTTTGTATTAGATCTAGTAGCAAGAATTACTGGCAATGGCTTGTTTTTGGCAGGAGGCCCTTTCTAAAATTCCAAAATTGTATTAAAAAAGTTTTACAATCGGCCAAATAAGTGAATAGATTTTAACTATCAGAAAGTAATATGACTAAAAGAAACAAAATAAAATTGACCTTTGATGGGAAGACAGGAGTGCCATGTACACTGTACTTCTTGCACAGTCCTGACTGTGTATTGTGACAAATTATCATTTAACATATTCAGGATTGTGCCATCACATGTGCTATATATGTGAAAACTTTTATGCCACTTTGAGCACTTTTAGAGCAAAAATGTACTTTGTCTTTCTCAATAAACAATCACAAAAAAGAGTTGCAGTTTGATTAAAAAAATTGGACTGTACTTTTCATGCACTCCCTAAAATCTACAATTTATCTTATGTTAGCTAATATTAAAGGGCATTCGTAGAAAAACTGTTTATCATTTTTAAAAATTGGTTATTCCAGTTCTATCAGTCTGCTATTTAAAATAAAATAACCCTCATAAATTATAGATTCTAATGAATTTTTCAGTTTTCAAATAACAGTCATTGTTTACATTTAAGTTATCTAAATGGTCAATCACTTGAGTCATTGTATTGTTAATAACTTAATAGTTATCTGAACTGTTAATAATTATTTAAATGTTTAATCACTTAAGTCATCATCTGAATTGAGATGCCACTAAAACTGATGACACCACATAAGAACTTTATATAAAAAAAAAGTAAAGAAAGTGGCTCTGCCGACAATGCTACTACACAAAATAAGATCCTTAGTGTTTTTTTGTTGTCTTTTAGTTATTTCGGTAAGATGGGTTAAATTTTAATGATTTTTTTAATATATATAATAAAACAACAACACACGTTTAGACGACATTTTCTCCGAGATCGGGGGTTGCCGTTTGGCTACCTATGATGAAACCGAAATACCCCTCGACGCCATTCACATCTGTCACTCGCCTCAGTATCACGCAACCCGGCTTTCACTTTGTCCTACTCCACCTGCTCTCTCCATCCCAGTCGCGGGTGACCTCTTCCTATCACTCCTTCAACCTCGAACTCCAACACTCGCCTAATCCCGACCCTTTCATCCCTTCTCAACACATGTCCATACCACCGCAATCTCGACCTCCTTATCAATGTCACAATGTCCTCATTCAGTCCCATCCTCGACATCTGTACTACTCCTCCTATCCTTCACTTTAACCCCACACATCATCCTCACCATAGCTCTTTCAGCCCTCTGCAGTACACTTTCCTCCTCTCTCCTCAACACCCAAGTTTCACCACCATATACCATCGCTGCTCTCACACAAGCTTTATTTACCCTCCCTTTCATTTTCACTGACCATTTCTTTCCACACAATACCCCACCAAGTTCCCTAAATTTCATCCATCCCACACGAACTCTAGTCGTAACAGCGTTCAAACATCCTCCATCCGCGTTCAGCTTAACCCCTAAATAAACAAAGCTTTCCACTCTTTCAATACCACCACTCAACCCCGTCCTTGAGTCCGTCCTATTAATCACACCATGAACACACTTTTTACATTTGAACGTGCCTTCCACCTTTTTCAGTGCCCCCCTCACACCACTACATCCCTTATGCACCCACTTCTGACATCCTATACACAATACCGAGTTAGCCTTCACTCTCCTGTCACATACGCCACAGGGGTCTATTTTACTTATCACTTGCTCCCCACCTTCCCCACTCACCATTACCTTCGTCTTACCAATATTAACTTTTAACCCTTTCTTTTCAATAACACTTTTCCATCTGTCAAATTTTAACTGCAATTCTTCCATGCTATCAGCCATCAAGACTAAATCATCTGCATACAAAATCTCAAATAACAACCCCTCCATTATGTTTCCACACACAACATCCATCACAATTGCAAACAAAAACGGTGATAGCACTGATCCTTGATGCACTCCTACCCTAACACTAAAAGCGTCCGACATCTCCCTTCTGACCCTCACCTTTGTCTTCGCCCTTTCATACAGCTGCATCACAGCTTTAACAAGTCTCTCATTCACTCCTTTCTTCCTCAGCGCCCATTCAATGACCTTCCTTGGTACTCGATCAAAAGCCTTTTCTAGATCCACAAAACACATGTACAATCTTCGTTTCTTCTTTCTATAATTCTCCTGCAACATTCTAACTATCCACCGTTCCCGTACCAGGCATAAACCCACACTGCATTTCATTAACTGTCACCATATTTCTCAACCTTCTCTCAGGCACCCTCTCCACTACCTTCATTCCATGCTCTAGCAATTTCACACCCCTATATGACCCACAATCTCTCACATCTCCTTTGCCCTTATACAACGGCACCAATACACTATGTCGCCAATCCTCAGGTATACCTTCATCATCCAACATACTGTTAGCAATTCTCATCATAACTTCAATTCCTATCACCCCACTCGCCTTTATATGTTCCGCCGCCACTTCCGAAACCCCTGTCGCCTTACCTAGTTTCATTTCTCTAACTGCTTTCTCTACTTCCTCCATTGTCACCTTCTCTATGGATCCGTGAGTGACCGCGGATTCCACATCTCCATCCCACTCATTCTCTTCATTCATCAATCTTTCCATATGGGCTTTCCACACCTGAGCTTTTTCTTTCTCATCTATGCACAACTTGCCAGATCCATCCCAAACATATCCATCCCCTATAACATCTTTCCTATCCCTCATTGACTGCTTTGCTACTTTGAACATTTTCCTCGAACTCACATCAAATTCCATTTCCCTCATTAACCTCTCTGATGCTTTCGTCATTGCAGTTGCCACTGCCCGTTTTGCAACCTTCTTACTTAGCCTTCCTGTACTCAAACTCCGCTTCTCCCGTCATGCCCCTTCTCCACACCCTAAACCTCTCCTTCTTAACCTCCAAAACCTTTCTTATATCTTCATCCCACCACCACGTTTCACGATGCCTACATTTTCCTTTTGTCCATCCACATACTTTATCTGCCATAGTCAACACACAGTCTCTATATCTCTCCCAAACATCTCCATCCTTACCACTCTCCCAACTTTCAGTCACCTTCACTTCAAATGCCTTCCTCATCTCTGCATCCTGTAACTTCCATGTCTTTCTCTTTGCCACAAACTTATCCTTCTTCCTTCTCCCCATTTTTTTTGATGCCATCACAACCATACTATGCTGCAACATACTAGATATCGGTAAATATATAAAATAAAAAAATAGTAATAATTTCTCTGACAAACTTTACAATTTTAGTTGAGGAAGTGCTCAAGTACTAAAGTTTCACTTATATGGTAAAGATGATTAAGTTTTTTTAATCACTTAAACAATATAGAAATAAAAAAAAAACTCACAAGGAAATTACTGTCATTCTCTGCAACCTTGAATGAAAAAAAAACGATTAGGTGTAATCAAAAACAACCCAGACAAAGGCATTCAAATTATTCTCATAACACATTATGAAGGATTCTTAAAAATATTAATTGAGGTGAACTACATGAAAGGCTCAATGTTTGAAGAGAACACTCAGTTCAATAATAAAAAAAACACGGTCCGTGGGTTGGTGTAATTTGAGTTAATTTTGGAAAACATTAAATAAAACTTTTACATATGTCAGAAGGGTTGCTTATTGGTCCAAGATATAATTCAAAAACATTATTTTTGTTAGTTCCACCAAAATCTAAACGACACAAACAGAAATAAATTGAATAATTTAATATAAATATCAGGAAAATAATATGAAATTTTCGAAAACATTAATAATGGTTTTACAAATCACTTTTGTTTTTGATTTATTGTTTTCAAAAATTTCATATTATTTTCCTGATATTTATATTAAATTATTCAATTTATTTCTGTTTGCGTCGTTTAGATTTTTTGAAATAATGCTAATATAATTTCGACTTAAACTGACGGATTTCAGTATTCCTTTAGAAAAGTAACCAAAAAAATAAAAAGTTTCAATGAGACAGCAACAACTAGCAGCAACGAGTTAATAAGGAAACACATTAACATCATTTTTAAACACGAAACCAATGTAGATAACCTACTAATAAAAAGGATGAAAATAAAGATGCATACATATAGGCCTATGAAATATTAACTAAAGATGAAATTAAAAGGAATAAAATTTTTGATGCTAAAATTGAGATAAGTGATGAAAGATGAAAATGAGTTTCCACCCAATATGGACAAGTGAAAGATATGACTGAACAGGTCAGTATTCCATGGACTTTTAACTCTACAAGGTCTTAGTGCGTGCTGTGAATAATTCAAAGATAAAGTATAAAAAAAATGTGTTGACGGTTAATTGATTGCTCGGTTGTTTCAACTGCCTTCATCCATCTACTCAAATTATGGCTAGAGTTTATATATACCCGTCCAAAAAATGGAGAAAAGCAACAAAATAGAAAAAGTTTCAATGAGACACCAACACAAACACCAACAAGTACACAAGAAACGAAGAAACACATTAAAAAAATTTTAAATAGGAAATTTTCTGCTTGTTTAGCACTCAGACGATCACATAAAATGATGTTATTGCATCTTCTCTTGAAAACATCAACAAATTAATGTAGACGAAATAAAAATCTCACCTGCTAATAAAAAGGATGAATGTAGTATACATATCGGCCGAAGAAAAACTAGATAAAGATGAAACTAAAAGAAATGAGAGTTGTTAGGCTAAAATTGATATAAGTGATGTTGATGAAACAGTTGAAACAGTTGAACAAGTGATAGGTATGGCTGAACAAATACCAGTAGAAGAATTTTCATATATATTTTATTTTAAGAACTAAATTTTGCTTAATAGTTCTGTTTGATTATGAAGGAAATTTTTTGCTATAACTTGGAGAATAAAAATTTTGATTTGATAACAGTATAACGATCAGTGGTGTACGGTAACGAAGTAAAAGTAACGAAATATTGTACAAAGTACTCATCTAGTACTTTATACTTGTAACAATGTAATAAAAAATAAAAAGTTCTTCAACTTGTAACAATGTAATATTTTCAATAAAACTTTTACTCGTTACTTTTTATTCTTAATTCGTTAAAAGTACAAACTTTGAATAATCATTTTTTCCCTGCGAGAAATTTTCTACAACGCATAAAAATTCACGATCTATATTTAAATTTGTTAAAATTAATTTATTGTTTATTTGTAGTCTTTGTTTGCTTTACTACAAGTCAGTATGGCAATAATGCTTTTATAAGTAAAACAAATAGCAATTTACGATTAGCCGAATCAATAATAAATATTCAACAGCTAACAGTTGGAATCCTTCCCGTAACTAAATTTAGAAACAGAAGAATCATCGATAATAATGACAGGTAAAAGTGTCTTATTGTACAATGTTGAAGATTAAATGATTAAATTAAATGATTCACTTTGAAGTATTCACTTAAAACAAACAAAGAACCAAGAAAGTAGAGACACATTATATCAAATCATCAATCAGATCACTTTTATTCAATCAAGCAAAACAAAAAAAGCATGAATGATTCGGAGACCAAAAAAATTAATTCTTGTGGACTTGGCCACCGTGCAACTCAAAATAGCTTCTCAATGATAACACAACGAGAA